TAAAATGCAATCATGATAAGGCCCACAGCTGTACAAAACATAGTCTTCCAGACATCCTCAGACTGTTTTGTCATAAACTGGTCTGTTTCAAGTCTCGATTTACGATGGCTCTGGCCTATTGATACCACTTTCCAAGGTGTTAATGATGAATGTTGACATCCTTTCTTGCTGTGGTGACATATAGCAGCAGAATGAGGACATTCATCAACACCAACAGTTGTCTTAAATTTTGAAAATTTCCAAAACATTCTTAACATCTTAATCCAGGTTACTCATGTAAACTAAATGACATTATTCTGAGGTTACATTGATGTTTTACAGAAGCTCACTGACTCACTACAGCTCATCCAGAAGAGTTATGTGAATTGGAATACAGGTGCAGAATTCCCCTCAAATGGATGCATTTCAATTACAAACCTGGAGAATCAACTTATATAGAGCTGATCACAGAGTACCTTGATCAAGGATTTAACAGCAGTATCAGCACTTGGAGTTTGACATTCTGGTAATAAATCTACAACCACAGCACCATATACACATGCATTTTTAATTGCAAAGCTAACATTTTGTAATTTTGTACTTCTCATACAACACATTAGAAAGGACATCAAAATAGCAACAGTACCATTTAATGTTTTTTGGCTCACTATATTTCAGAATGCAATATATTTTATTTTTATTAACTTTTTCTTTTCTTTGGATTGACTTTCATGAAGTATTATTTCATCTGCAACAGCAAAAAAATATTGTAATTTCCTACGCAATCAATCACTGCAGTTCTCCTTACTGAAAGAGCAGGAATGGGATATTCCATACAACGTCTGGCCACAATATGCAACACTCACTCCCTCAACCATAGCTTGACATTTTAATTGTGATTTAAAGCAATAGGGAATAATTCAAATACTGCCTGATTCCAGCTTTCAGTCACATATGGTAGAAAGACTGTTTTTAATCAAGACCACACTCTAATTAATGTCCAAATACTTTGGAAAACAGATATCTGTTCTTAATTGGATCAAACATAACATAATAATGAAATTAACTAAACGATTTTAAGCTGACGTGTCCGTTCTGGGACAATATTCAATAGGTAAAGCAACAAATATTACACCAAAACAAATGAATTGATATGTAATTATAAGCGTTCTCATTTCTTGTCTTTAAAGTTTAGTTCGAGTCTTTAAAGTTTTTTGCGGTTCTACCCTCAATATTTTGCATGATTTACTTTTGAAGATCAAACACCTTGGAGAGAAGTGTATAATCTTGCTATTAGATAGCCATGAAAGGATCAATATCTCACTGATCTTCTTTGTACAGTTGATTTGAATTATTTTAATTGAAAATTTCTACAAATATAACAGAGGACATGGTTTGCTGATGTTTTTCAAAGGCTGCTGAAATATTTGACCCCCAGGCTTACACATACTGTACCTGATCTTTCTGCCGAAAAAAAACTCAAAGTGTTTGCAAGCAATTTTCCTAGTTATTGCTTATTAATTATATATAATTATGATTTCAGGAAGTAAAGAGTTAGATTAAAAAAACAACTAAAATAAAACAATTATGCAGTCATCCAAACAAGAAAATTGGAAAATGTAATCAACCCATTTAGTATGTTTGGTAGGTAGAAACTAGTACTAGAAAATATGCTATTTTTGCAATTCATTAAAAAAGTAAAATCTACAAAGTATAATTTATCAATTAAAGAGGTAGTATTTATGTGTCTTATCAGATTCCTGTTAAAATCTTACCTCCTCTCAATCTAGAGATCAAGTTAATTGACTTGACATTGATATTTATCTGATATTTATGTACAATTGTTTTGAAGATCTCATCCAGCCATTTCTTAAACGACGCCAGGGTATTCACTTCAATTACATGGCTGGAAAGCTTGTTCCATTCTCCCATACTTCTATTAGTGTAAAGACCTGCTTCCTGTGCCAACATGTCTAGCTCCACTGTTCACAAAAGGAACATTTTTGACAAGTCTCTGGACCAGCCAATAAACCATCAATCTGGAAACGCCATATACAGCTGACACAAAACCGTAAGATGCTGTATTGAAACAATTTAAATGTTTGATTGTTACACAACATGATTGCCAATGTTATTGTAGCATACGTTATTTGATAACATTTCATTTTTACAGTTGTGAGAAAACGTTTGTGAGCTCCTTGGAACCATCTGTTTCCAAGGCATCAGTATTCCTGCAGTAAATGCTCCTGAGGTGTGATCTGATCTTCATCAAAGTCTTAATAATAATAATAATAATAATAATAATAATAATAAT